CTAATTGTTTAGCAGGCTTTCTGCTTCTGATGTACTTTAAAAAAGTATTGCTTTTACTTTTTGAATTTTGGGGTAACTGTTCTTCAGATTCCTTTTTAGCCTTGCTAATTATATTTTTACACTTCATTTGACAGTTTATGCTCCTTTCTATTTTCCTCACCAGGATTTAGCTTTCACTTTTTAAATTATGTCTTTTTATCTCTCTCTGCTTCTTTTACTTGTCTGTTAAGCCATGATGGCACTTTTTTGGTTCTCTTACTGTGATTTTTTTTAACTTTGAGCGTACATTTAAGTTGGGCCTCTATTATGGTGTCTTTGAAAAGTTTCCATGCAGCTTGCAGTGATTATTCTTTTGGCACTGTACCTTTTAATTTCTGTTTTACTAACCTCCTCATTTTTATGTAGTTCCCCTTTCTGAAATTAAATGCCACAGTGTTGGGCTGCTGTAGTATGCTTCCCATCACAGGGATATTAAATTTAATTATATTATGGTCTCTATTTCCAAGCTGTCCAACTATATTCACCACTTGGATCAGATCTTGCATTCTACTTAGGACTAAATCAAGAATTGCCTCTCCTCTTGTGGGTTCCAGAACTAGTTGCTCCAAGAAGCAGTCATTTAAGGCACCAGTTTTCAAACTTGAGTCACAGACCTGTCCGGATAAGCTACTGGCGGGCCCGCAATGCTTTATTTATTCAAGTGTCCGAAGCCATAGAGCCTCGCAGCTATAATTGGTTGCAGTTCACTGTTTCCAGCCAAGGAGAGCTGTGAACCATTTATAACTACATTCTGGAATGGTTATCCAACTGGTTATGCACCCACCTTATCATAGCTACACCTAGGTTGTATTTTTCCAGTTTGTTAGTGAGAAGGTCTTGTGAGACAGTATCAAAAGCCTTCTTGAAGTATAGATCAGGGAGGGCAATAAAACAGTGGCAGGTGCCAGGGTTGGCTCCTGGCGGGCCGCCATCACTATATTTAGCTGTGTGTCTGCAGGTACCAGCGATGGAAGCTTCCATTAGACTACTTCTTGCAGCACCCATTGGCCAGTGGGAGCTGCAATCACTCTTACCCGTGGAGGTGCAGGTAAATATAGCCGTGGCAGCCCCCTAGAAGCAAACACTGGCAGACCGGATCCGGCCCACAGGCTGGTATTTTCCCACCCCTGGTCTGGATATACCACATCTACAACTTCTGCCATCCACAAGGCTTGTTACCCTGTCAAAGAAAGTTATCAACTTGGTGTGACATGATTTTTCTTGACAAATCTATGCTGACTGCTACCTTATTATCTTCTAGATGTTTGCAAATTCCTCCCTTAATTATTTGCTCCGTTCGTTTTTCTGGTAAAGTCATTAAGATGACTGGTCTGTAATTCCCTGGATTGTCCTTATTTCCCTTTTTATAGATGGGCACTCTGTTTTCTTTTTTCCAGGCTTCTGGAATCTCTCTCATCTTCCATGATTTTTCAAAAATAATAGCTAATGTCCCAGATATCTTCTCAGTCAGCTTCTTGAGTATTCAGGGATGCATTTCATCAGGCCCCAGTGTCTTGAAAACATCTAACTTGTCTAAGTAATTTTTAACTTGTTCTTTCGCTATTTTAGCTGCTGATCCTACCCCATTTTGAGTGGCATTCATTATATTAGGCCGCCGGTAGCCACCAACCTTCTTGGTTGTGCTGTGACGCTTTTGTGTTTTTATGTATGATTTTGTAAGCAAGTAGTTTTTAAAGTGAGATGAAACTTTGGGCTGCACAAGACAAATCAGACTCCTGAATTGGGGACAATAGTCTGGAAAGGTTGAGAGACAATAATCTAAAGTGTCTTCGACTATCTGTAATTCTGGTGCCTCCATCACTTTGTTTGATATTGTGTTTCACCGCTCTTTTATACTTGCTGCGACTGCATTTTCCTAATACCTCACCTCAATTTTCCTTCTTTAACTTCAGATTCTTGTGTCAAGTCTATCCACCTTAAGAATCAATGTAAACACTGCAGCAGAGGCTTTCTAAGTGTTTTGAAAAAACAGCTCTATAATGTTATTTTGGGATCCCAGGCTTATTTATACATTTGAGGAGCTTATCAAAATCACACACAGATATCTCCTCTGAGTTAGTTCCTTATTTTTACTTCTCTTTTTCTTGTTTCTGTGCATGCTTAGGTCTTGGCTTACTGTATACCTATAGGGGTAGACTGTTTCTTTAAGTCGTGGCCCTGCATGGGGATAGTACAGGGCCATACCACACCATCTAGACCCCAAAAGGGATGGTACCTCACAGCAAGCAGAATATTTCTGGTGCTATTGCTTGGGAGTATGCAGAGTGTAATTCGCTCTATCCATTGGGATGAATCAGGATGTTAGCCCTTAGTGTCCTTGCCAGATTTCATGGGCTGTTGTAGGTTGGAAGGGGAAATCCAGGGTCTTTTCTCCTTCTTGTTATTCCCTGTTTCATTTCTAGCATCTTGCTTCCCAGGAAAAGCAGGAGCAATGGTACTTTGATCCCCAGAATGCAGGGAGCACAGGGAGTAACTGTGTAAGAGGGAAGCTTTTTACTCTCCCCCCTGCATTGGCATGGCTGCACAGGGGTTGCTCACAGACGGGGATATAATGTTGTTTATGACCCTTTAAGCCTATCTTTAACATCATAAGGAGAACTGTAAATCATTAGGAGTAATCACTTGGGGTATGTCTACACTACAATGTTAGTTCGAACTAACGGATGTTAGTTCGAACTAACATTCATAGGCGCTATACTAGCGCTCTCCTAGTTCGAATTTGAATCGAACTAGCGGAGCGCTTAGTTCGAACTAGGAAAACCTCATTTTACGAGGATTAAGCCTAGTTCGAACTTACTAGTTCGAATTAAGGGGTGTGTAGCCCCTTAATTCGAACTAGTGGGAGGCTAGCCCTCCCCAGACTTCCCTGGTGGCCACTCTGGCCAACACCAGGGAAACTCGTCTGCCCCCCTCCTGGCCCCGGACCCCTTAAAGGGGCACGGGTTGGCTACGGTGCCCGTGCCAGGTGCAAGCCTGCCAGCACCCAGCCAGCAGACCCTGCA